TGTCACGGCAGGGAGTGGAGGAGGCGGCCCCAAGGCCCCTCCCTGCCAGCCCGTCCTACTCGCCCCACCTCTGCAGAGGGGGCATTTCTCTCTGGCAGAGCGGAAAGAGTAGCAGGTGCTCAGTGCAGGTGGTAGGAAAGGGGAGAAGGGGCCGAGAATTCACCTACAGGTGTTATCTGTACCACTCAGGGGAGAAGGAGAGGAAGTGACAGAGAAGGAAGAGCTTCTCATTGTTTAATTAAGCCACCGCCACCCCCATGTGCAAGAGTCTCTGGGCCCCTCTGCCTCTGCCAACACCCCCGGTCAGAGGCAGGTATGCTTACCCCACTCGGGGGCACCGCGCCTGAAGCTCACAGGAAAAAAGGGGCCTGACTCTGCAGTCCCTGGGGACACCAGAGAGGACACCCCTGTCCTGTTGCAATGCAATCCCTTCCAGAGGCCACCACTGTCCTGGCTTGTCCCTGGGTGTTGAAAAGTAGGCGTTCCCCAAAGCCCTTCTCAGAAACGTACCCAGGCAGGGGAATCCAGACTCAAGGGCCAACGAGCCCCCTCCTGCCCCTAGGATGGCTACTGTCAAAAACACGGGACAAAGTGTTGGTGAGGACATGGGGACACTGGAACCCCCTATCCACTGCTGGTGAACTGCTGGTGGGGACGCGGGTGGTGCAGCCGCTGTGGAAAACATTTTGCAGTGCCTTAAAAATTAAACCGAATTGCCATGTTTCGCAGCAATCCCACTTCCGATACAGATCCGAAAGCATCGAAAGCAGGGACTTGAAGAGACATGTGCAGACCCATGTTCTCAGCAGCATTGTTCTCAACAGCCAGAAGGGGACAGCCACCCACGTGTCCATGAACAGATGAGTGGTCCGTCTATACAGTGGGATATCATTCAGCCTTAAAAAGGAAGGAAATTCTGACACATGCTACAGCATGGATAGAATTTCACATTATAAGTGAAATAACCAAGACACAAAGGGACACATGCTGTAGGATTCCACTTCTACGAGGTCCCTAGAGTGGTCAAATTCAGAGATAGAAGTAGAAGGGGGTCACTAGGGTCTGTGGAGGGGGAATGGGGGTTGGTGTGTAATGGGGACAAAGTTTCAATTTTGCAAGATGAAAAAGTTCTGGAGATGGACGGTGGTGGTGGCTGCACAGCCACACCGATGTATCTAATGCCACTGAGAGGTGGTTAAGGTGGTAAACCTTGTTACATGTATTTTACTATAATTATAAAAAGTTTTTTAAAAGTCTCGGGCTGGGCCGGCCCGGTGGCGCATTTGGTAGAGTGTGGCGCTTGGGAGTGTGGTGGCGCTCCTGCCGAGGGCGCGCTTGGGAGCGTGGTGGCGCTCCTGCCGAGGGTTCGGATCCCATATAGAGACCGGTCCGCTCACTGGTTGAGCACGGTGTGGGCGCAACACCAAGGGTTGCGATCCCGTTGCCGGTCATGGTACGGGCACGACACCGAGGGTTGCAATCCCATTACCGGTCACGAAAAAAGACAAAAAGGAAAAAAAAAAAAGTCTCGGGCTGCCCCTCGCTGGGGATCACCTGCCAACTCCCCCTCCTTACCCGCACCCACTCACACGCATACGTGCACATGCGTTCTGCTTTAAAAGTTGGCCAGATTCTTTCTACAACAAAAGAAAGATACCTTCCCCCGAAGTTTTCTCCATCTGATAATCTCCTTAAGCAATTTTGCAAAGAAGGATCCAAACCACACCAGGCTGATCTTACAACAGGAGGTCCTTGGGTGGGAAAGCTGCTCCCTTCTGCTCACCTGGTACAGTCAAGTGACAGGCTGCAGCCATCAGCCAGGTGCCCACTACCTCTGGCCGAGCAAGAAGAAAGACACACTCAGACCCCCACACACGATGGGGTTAGACTTGTGGCCAGTCCCACACCAGCACCCCAAATCTGTAATGCCCCTTAGCAAGGAAAACCAGGAGAGAAAATCAGAGAGAGACAGACCAAGAGGGAGACAAGACAGAGCGAGATGGACTAGGGCTGTGCCAGGTGCCCACAGCGTCCCCCAAGTCTGGGTGGCAGGTCCACTCTGCTCAGACCTGCCACTTGAAAAAGAGATTCGGGGGGGCCGCCGCGCCGCTTGGGAGTGCAGCGGCGCTCCCGTCGAGGGTTTGGATCCCACATACAGACCGGCCGCTCACTGGCTGAGCGAGGTGCGGGTGCAACACTGAGGGCTGCGATCACGTTGCCGGTCCCGGTCCGGTATGGGCACGACACTGAGGGTTACGATCCGTTGCCGGACACGAAAAAAGACAAAAAGGAAAAAAAAAAAAAGAAAAAGAGATTCGGGAGAGGAATCCCTGCCCAAAAAGTGAGGGAGGGAAGGAAGACATGAATCACTGGGATGCAAACTGGCATAGGGGCTGGGGATTTTGGCAGGGCCATGTTGGCAGGTTCAAAGGAGATGGTCTTGTGCTAACTCAGAGCGGGTCACGACCCACCTACAAATGCATCCTTCTTGAATTTATAGCAATTATAGTCACATTCTGCTAAACAAATAGATTTTACAAGCCCTCAGTTAAATGCAGATGATTATGGCTGCTGGTGTCGAGGGAGCGCATCATCCAAGCTCAGGAGCGAGAACCGCACCCAAGTCCTCCTGCTGCCATGGATTAGCAGGGAGCATCCCCACGGCAGCTGAGCAATTGCCTGTGATTTCCTTTTCCTCACGCCACTTCCCCGCCTCCGTGGGCTGCTCTGCCATGCATGTGCACACATGTGTGTGTGCAGGTTTCAGGCACACGCTGCTGTGAATGGCTCTTCTGCTTACTAAGATATCCGCCCCCCCACCCCAGGGGGCCTCACCCTGTGCTGGGGAGCAGCCCTGCCCACGTCTCGGACCACCCGTGGTGTCTCAGGCATGACTGACGGCTCGATCAATTTATGAGATAAGGGTTTGGTGGTTTTAAACATTTAGTATCAAGATGGAGAAGAATGGGCCCAGGCTACAGTCTGGAAATAAAAAGCTCATTGTAACAGGATTGCCAAGAAACCAAAAACAGAACAAGCTGGAAAATACTGCTAAAACTACAATTTACTTCTCATCAATCAGACCAAACATGAAGCAGAGTACTTTTCTTATGTTCATTCACTTAACAACAGCAGCACAAAACAAACAAGCAAAGACTGTGAAACTGGTGTTCTCACCTTCATTTTAAAGGTAAAAGAAATGGAGGCCCAGAGTAGCTGAAAAAATTTGTCAAAGTTGATAAAGCTGTTGTGTGGGTCTTTTCATCACTGTGATCCTCCTATTCTCACTCATCAATTAAATGTGATGTGGGCCATGTTCATAGGCCTGGGACTGGCCACTGTGCACAGAAGCACAAACTAAGTGAAAGACTTAGAGTGAAAGACTTCCTCTATCTATGAGCTGAGCATAAAAGATCACACACGGATGAGGCTGTAGAAGAGAGAACCATTTTCTATTCTACTTCAACATTTGAACTGATGGTTTGTTTCTACGTGATGCTTAGGCAACACAACAGGCACAAACTAGTCCTTTCACTGGATAAAGCAAGACAACCAGACTGAGTCACAGCTACTTTTTTTTATTAGTGCTATTTATTAAGAGACTAACAACTCACTTGAGAAGTCTGGTCTTGTAGGTAACAGCCAAGGAAATTTGAGGGAATAGGGTGGTTTTTCTTTTCCTTTTTCTCTCTCTCTCTCTTTTTTTTTTTTTTTTTTTTTTTTTGGTGCAGTGGTATGGGTGAAACTGAGAGACAAGTAGCTGCTCCCAAACAACCAAACCCAAAGAGCACGTGGCTCTTGTTATATCTGGCTGGCTCAGCAACTCTCCAAGTTATGGGGCTACAGGGGATACTGTCTAGACCAGTTCTTTTGGCCCTGGGGTTGGCAGAACATAGAACCAGTAAGCCAAGGCATGGTGCAAACATCTCTCTGCATTTTTTTCTGGTAGACAGTCAAGCTGGATGGAAACTAAATCTCAAACAACTACCAAATAGCAATAAACTTGAGAATAAAAAGACTGCACAGGGCTTTCTTCAGTCCTTCATAGACATGTCCTAGCTCTTCAGCTATAAGCATGACATTTCTAAAGTGAATATACTTAAGAAAAAAAACACAAAGAACAATCATAAAGGTGGCATGACTTTTCCAGCTTGAGAATAGTCTCATTTTGTCAACAGGAGTTTTCTAGTCTCAATGATGGCACTAGGATAGGAAAAACACATCAACATAGAATTGAAATAATTTATTTACCACTAGAGCACCACAAAAACAGACATACATCGTGTTAAAATACAGCGTAATTGGTCATCAAAATACAAAACAGCTATTCTTATATTCCACTTTTTTAACCATGCCAACCATAAATTGTACTGCTGCTTAACACATAAAAAATCACTGCCCCACCTGCATACTAACACTTCCCCCGTTCCCTCCCACCTCCCTGCCCTCCCATGGCAATATTTACTTATGGGAAATAAAGACCTTACAGAACCCCAAAATAAAAAAAAAAAGATTCAAGAGATCTTATAGAGTATTTAAAATATTATCAGTGCATTCATGAGGAAAGACAAAATAATACAAAACAAAATGTCATCCTATCTGAGAAAAAAAATACCTGCAGAAATAAAAGTGATTTACACAGAATTAATGGAAAAGTGGAAGAAAAAAAAATAATCAACACACTCAAATCTGGGACTGGGCTATACCCAACACAAAGGTTGTTTACTATTGTGGCATCCCATCTCTTGCTTTTCCAGTTTCCAAACTTAGAAATCAGATTCTTTATTTTAAGTAATGGTCGGAAAATTCAAAAAAAGAAATATACTATATGTCAAACAAGTTCATTTTGGATTCACACTTCACTATGCTTCTCTTTAGGTGAAACTGCAAATATTCCATTGTTTTACCTATTACCTAATTTTTATCTGAAAGTTAAATAAGTGACAAGTGACAAACTGACGTATTCTATGAACCACAACATGAAGATAATTCCTCAGCAGTGATGTGACAAATTGTTTATTAAAGCAAGTTAAACTCCAGCCTCAGACACAGAAAACTCTCGCTTAGAGAAAAGAAAGAATCTTTTGATCATGGGACAATTTGGCTTGTGACTTTTTAACCTTCAAAGAGCATCTATAAAAGCCTTAACTTCAGTGAAATAAGCAAAAAGACTTATGCTGACCTGGATTTTTTCTTTCTTTGAAAAAATCAGCTAAATTGTACATATTTCAATTTCCCCCTGAACCCTAAAAACCCTATTGAAAGAAAAGATGTTTTCTATGAACTGTCTGCTTTTTAATAACAATAGAATTCTGTGAAAACACTGATTAAAGCAAGTTAGAGAAAGAAAACTTTCTAAACTCAGTCACCAAGATTCTGAGTTTCAGTAAGATCCTTAAACCCTTGCTAAAACTAAAACATTTCACCTCAATTATCTATTTATCTGTAATATTCCCCATTTTCCTAACATAGAAGCTTTTTAACATTTGACTTGATTAGTAACAATGCTCAGAAAATGAAAGAAGACCACTGAATTCGAATCTCTCCTTTTCATAAAAAAGAAAAAAACAGGACAAGTGGACCCAGGTAGCTTATGTCATGATAATGGACGACACATACAGCACAAGTAGAGCAAATACCATAAAAATGCATGTGTGGTGCAAGTCAGAGCACAGGGACTTTCCTCAAAAGTACTGGCCAGCTGAAGGAAACACGCGATTGTGAGTGATCACTAAAAAGAGCCCGAATTTTAAGTTCAATCTAAATCATAGTTGACGTTATTACAGAATACAAAAAATATGGTAAAAATTTACACATTACACAGAAAGCAGTTAATGTTTTGATTTAATAGTTTGCAAAAGAGATCTGCAGATGTGTTTTCAATTATGCTGGCTTCTATACCCATCTATTTTAATAATATAGGTATGGTTACATACATCAAAACAAAGGAAAAAACCTATAGCACAGCTATACAGCAATACTAAAGGCCCAAAGTTTGACCAGTACATGTCAAAACATTTCAACATCTCACTGGTTTACTAAACTGACAAAGAACCACTTACAATTAAAAAGAAAAAAAAATCTTACAAACTTATTCTGACTGAAAGTTTCCTTTATTAACAGGCTTTTTAATTTTTGAACCTTACAAGAAGCTTCCTTAGGCAGTTGGTACATAACATGTGTTTTCAGGGTCTTTATCTTAAAGCAGACTTGCTTGGTCATATAATAACTCACTTGGGTTTTCATCCCATTAATATGACCTCTTTTTTCTGGCTCGTTTGAGTTCAAGTTCCTTAAGCCATCCATGAGTTTCTGGTAAAGTATTTGGTCTCCACTTTATACACCTGTTTTATTTTCCAAGGGCAATGAAATGTTCATTATATAGTAACACACAATAAATAACTCACTGTTAACTCTAAGAGTAAGAATGGGAAGGGTGCCTATTGCATAGCAATACAGAAAAATCAAGTGAGGCACGGGGTAGGAACGGTACGTACAGCAACTCCACTTAATGGGGTTTTCCTGTTTTTTGTTTTTTGTTTTTTTTTCCTTTCACATAATTAACACTAACAAATTCTTCCAGTGTTTATTTTTTTTCTTAAAAAAAAAAAAAAGACTTTGTTTCTTGTCTGTCTCACAAAGTAGGTGAAATGCAGAATAAGGCCTTCAACTTTTTTTGTTTCAGATGCCAGTTTTAACAACCAGAACACAAACTTCCGAAGTGTTTGAACTAGTACCGCTTTTTCAAAAATTTTTAACACTGATGAACCAAGGCTCTCTTATGTTATCTTGTTACAAACTTCCTCATTGTCATTGTCGTCATTATCATCATCATCATCATCATCGTGATTTTCATCTTGCCGCTTTCCCAAGGATTTTAGCTGCATTTACAAGACTTTACGATCATGTTAGAAAGCTGTTCGATCTTGGGTGTTTTGCCAATGTAGTAGAGAATGGTTAGCGGTTCTAAATCCTGGGACACGCAGCAAGGAGAAGCAGATGCTTCTGGATTTATGGTATTATATAAGCTGAGGACCTGAAAGGACACGGGGTAGGAGAAAAAACATAGAGAAAGACAAAAAAAAAAAAGGCAACTTCTTAAAAGAACCAGTCCATATTGTTATCAGTCACAGCACTGAGTAGGCAATTGAATTTATTTTTGGTTTATAATTTCCTTTTCTTAACTCTAAATTATGATCAAATTAATATGTATTCTTACCAATCACCTAATTCACCATTTTCCCACAGAATTTTTTTTCATACATCTTAAACAAATGATGCCATAAAAGTCAGACTGGACGAAACTGTTCATTCAACAGATTTTCTCAATTCTTTCAATTAAGTCTTTACTCTGATCACTGCTTTGTTGCACATACTTCCCAAGCTCTTGCCAAACCTGGTCTTGTTTCTACACGACTTCGTAACTGAAGTTGTTTCCTGAGCATATATTTTCAATTCCCATGTAGATTAAGGTTCCCCTCCAGGTCAGAGACTCTACAGACTTTTCTTGTACCTTGTAGCCCTAGTAAGTTTTCTCTGGACAAAATAAGGCTTACGCGCTAGATGAAAAAATGAATACGTGGATAAGTAGAAGAGTAACATCTCTTACTGAAGCGCTCATCACAATTTTAATCTACCCTTGAATATAGAAAAAGAACCCTGCTTGCTATGTGAAATCTTTCTATGTTAAGCGTCTTCTCAGGCCAATTTATTGTCACCTAAACTTTAATTTAAAAAAATAAATAATTCTGTTCATTTACCATTGCTTCATAAATACAATGAGGCTGAAAATGACAAAAAGAAAAAGAAAATCTATATTCTTAATTATTCACTTTCTTACATTTTGCTTCAAAGATAATAATAATAATAACCCTCCATTAGCCTTCCATGTAATGAACGGCAGAGGCTGAATCGGAGGGGCAGGTAGCCAGCACTGAAACAGAATGAAGGGAACGATCTAGAGTGGGTCTTGTGCCTTTAACCCCATTCTAGGTCAAAGGGGTGTGTGACTTTTACTAATGGAAGTTTGTAGGTTCCCTGCAGATGATACAGAGACATTTCCAAGGATACCATTAATGTGTTAGTCAAACAGCAAGTGACCTTTTCCTCGAGATTCACTGTAACTTTTTCAACCTAGGACAGAAGATCTGTTCAGTGCAGCAACACTGACTACTTTATTAAGCCACCTCTGCCTTCTTGGGTAACTGTCCAAACCACATATTTGTGACCATGACAGTTATTCTTCCTCTCTCCTTGAAAAACAAGCATGGTCTCAGCCTTCACACACTCCCTCTATGCATCAGAGAGGAGAATTATGTTTCTACTTGGCAACGGGGCTTTGCCCACATAACAGCTACCGCTGCTGAAGCCCAGATGAGGCAGCCTGGCCAGAGAGCTCAGACAAAGGGACAGGCATGAGCAAGCTCGCTCACATGGCCAAGCACGTGGCCACCCCAGAGTGCCAAAGTCCACAGGGGAGCTGGGAAAACAGCTGAAGGAAGGGGAGCCATATTTGTCACTTTAAACGCCAGCACATGCAGGCACTTACAAATAAATATACTTCATATTCCACTAACACATGACTTTTCATATAAACTAAAGAGAAATTTTTATAATACAGATTGTCTAAAATAATTGATAACCCCCAAGCTCTTGAATTCAGCTGAAAGCATTATGGGATCTTTTTGGCAGCAGATTCATTTTCCTATCCTGCAGTGAAGGCAGTTTTTCTAATGCCTCTTTAATAGTGAGATTTACAGAGGCATAAAGAGCAGAACAGAAACCCCAACGTGTAGCCACATTTTAGGAATTAAACTCAGTAAGACAGAGCAAGTGGAGCCCTGGTTATAAAACAAGGAGACCTCCTGCCAAGCCTTGGTTTGTTCCTAATTCTCTCTTTGATCTTGGGCATCATCTATGTGATGTAGATCCAATTTCTTTTGAAAAATGAAAGGTTTGGACAAGATAGCTTATATGAAGTCCTTTCCATCTCTAAAATTCTACATCTTCAGCCACCAGGAGGAAGAATATGGACAAATATCATTATTACATAGAAAAAGTCTTCACTAATCTGGGCTGGGAACCCCTAGCATGAATTAGCCTTCGAACTTCATTGAAGTAACTTGATAAAATATTTAGATTCTCGTTTACTTTGGGTTTTATTCAAAGAGACTTAGAGATACTAATTTTCAAATAACTTTCACATATGTCATCTTTTTATATTGCACAACAATTCTCAAGTTTGGCATTATTATCTAAAAATAATTTTCAATATAGATGTTCTTTTTTATTCAAAGAGACTTAGAGATACTAATTTTCAAATAACTTTCACATATGTCATCTTTTTATACTGCACAACAATTCTCAAGTTTGGCATTATTATCTAAAAATAATTTTCAATATAGATGTTCTTTTTTGCTGATTGAGGTTCAGAGAAGTTAACTGACTTTCTAATTCTCATACACTAGTAAATCGCTATCCCAAAGCATGAGCTGAAGTCCCCCATGCTCCAGTGCCTGATGGAGGTGATAGGAGATCAATTTTTTTCTTTTTTTTTTTTTTGTCTTTTGTTTTTTTTCCGTGTCCGGCAACGGATCGCAACCCTCAGT